CCGATTTTTAGGCGATCCGGTTCCTTTTTCACTATGTTCGAGTCGAACCGGGCGAGTCCGGTTCGACTCGGCGTTTTTTAAAACGCTGGTCTCAAGCATAAGAACTATGCAGTTTGCAGCGCAAGGAGTCCAAAATATGCGAGGCCTCTTCTTGAGAAGCAAATGAGCTGCAATTAAATTGGCAACAACATTATCTGTGACCACTTGAATTATGTTCTCCTCCCAAAACTTTTCAATGCCCCTATTAATAAAAGAAAATATATAATGGGCATCATGAACCTCAACAGAAGCGTCAATAAAACACAAAAAAACTGTACCCAAGGGATTATTTACCAACAAATTCATGGTACTTCTATACTCCATAAATTGATCATTATGGAGACCCCAGGTTGAGCGACCCATCCTTATGGGTCTTGAGATATTCCTTAGCGTGCTTAACCTTTTTTTATTAGTAGTGGCTCGCTAAGCTCATATGGAGTTGTTCCTTTCAAAGCCCTTGCCCAAATTGACCACTTTCTTTCAGCATTGTATGGATGCTATTCAAGCGAGCAATACTAAAAGAAATGCTTGCATGGTATGACAACTGAGCAATATACTGAATTATCCAATCTATATTTCCTTCTTAAATCTATTTTCAAGTGTTACTTGCTTTTTTTCGTTACATTTCCCTTTCTCAATTACTATTTTGGGGTTACATGTAAAAAAGTATCAATAGGCCCTTTCGTGCGAAGCCTTTTAGACCTAAAACTCCTTTTACTCTTAGAAATTTGAGAAACTGCCTCTTGGCCTATCTCCTTTTCCCCTTTTGCATCCTTACCAGTGTCTTCATCATAAAATTTTTGACCCCCGCCCTCAATTCTGCAATATCCATTTCCTTTATTAATCTTTTGTTTTTTCTCAGTTTCTATGTACTCACAAGTCTCTTTCTTTACAAGCTCAGAAACCGTTTTACATGAGGCAACATCACCTCTAATACTGGCAAGATGTTTCTTGAATCTATTTATGCTGGCATTAGAAACATGTCCACAAAAATTGCTCATAATTTTGTTTTTGTCAGGTTTATGTGGGTTAACACAAGACGTCTATCTTAGATCCACATTCCTAGTAGTCTCAAATACCGAAAAAGAATCTCAGTTACAATAAACTAACCTTTTTGCCTGATCTTTGCTTTCAATGTTTATGATGTCATTTGAGCTATTGCTCACCTCAAAAGTCTTCTAATATCTCTACTAGCACCTTAAAAAACTTCTAATAAGAAAAGATAAGTTTTTGGATGCTTTTTTAACCTCAGAAATTTTTTTCGGTTCATAGGAATAAGTATAATCAATTGATGTAGGGCTTATAGATTTTTTTATTTTTATTTATTTTTATTACTTTTGGGGGGTTTAAAATATTCCCCAATACTCTTTTTAAACAAATTCAGGGTCCAAATTACATAAAATGCCCTTAGGGGCTATTAGAAAGACGGAAACAGCCCACAGCCCTAGGTGCCCACTCAGAACTGTGCATTTGGCTTGTGCCTAGGCACCCACTTGGGTATTGGTGCCTAGGGAGGAATGCCCAGGCCTAAGCTGTGCCCTACGACCATTGGGTGCCTAGGCATTGGGTTCTGGGTTCTAATGAAACCCTAATTGTCTTTTCGGCTCTCGAAAACCCTAGTTTAAGCGGTATTGCCTAAGGAAGCTTTCTGGCTCTGAAAATTCAGCAAGACCAATAGGATTGAAACACGCCATCTATCAAAAAATCGGATGTCGGGTGTACTAAGTCCTATGGGGGTGACCCTAGGCATAATCCAGTAAGTCTTCTTGGCTATGTAGTTGTATTTTCTAGTCATATTTGCATAATTTCATCAATTTCGAGGAACATTATTTGTATTAAAATTGTTAGTGGAAGTTTGAATTTCATTCTAAGATTTGTGGCTACTCGATTTGGTAATAAAAGGAAAGGTCCTAGGTTGTATTTGGGGTTTTAATTTTCATTTATAGCTGTGTATTGTGGCATTTGTATGTTGAATTAACATTCAATAATAAACAAAAGGAGAAATCGTTTTGATTTTATTGTCTTGAATTCACATTGCCAAATCTTTCATCTTTCATCTTTCAAGGGATTTTTTGAAATTTCAGATATGGATGGAGGGGGGCCAACAAGTAAGGCACTGTTTGGCTAGAGAACGAGTTTCTTATTCAAGTTTTGTTTTTTGGTTACACATTTTTGATGGTTTTTGTTCATCTCTTGGATGAAGTAATTTTGTAAAGAAACTATTTATGTAAACTCAATTTTTAATGAAAGTATAGTTTACAGGCAAAAAAAAGAAAATAATTGATCTCGAATCCTATATATCATATCATGTATTTCCTTGATCGTTAATGCTGTTTATTTTATTGTTGATTCAGATCTGGTTTCTTTCCTTGTAGTCTTTACTCTCTATTTCGTTTCTTATATAGGTGTAGAGGTAGTGGAATCCATTCCCCTGTGATTGCTAACACTTCATTTTGGAGTTTTTGTAATTTTACCATTTATTATATTTTGATGCAGGAAATGGCAATAAAGATGGACTGTTTTCTGTTCTTTTAAGAGACTACAATTCTCATGCTGCTGCTTCTTGTATGAATCGGCTTGCCAAACTAAGGTAAAGTTTCCTGCAGAAATCATCTTGGAGCCAAAACTTCTGTCAACATTAGTGAAGCTTTTTATAGATATTTCAGTTTGTCATTGAGAGAGAGAGAGTGTGTGTGTGGGTGTCGGCACGTGCGTGTGTGTCTGCATGCGTGTGTGTTTGTGTTTATGTGTGTGTGAGCCTGCATGCATGTGCATGTAAGTGAGAGCATTGTCTATACGAACATGGTAGATAAAAAATATTACTTGGGCACTAGGAACTTTGATATTAAGATAGGGAAGATTGAAAGCAACACGCTCGAGCGTGTGCATCTGTGTTTTGTCTTTGAGAACACAATGGAATGAAATTGTTGGCAGTGGGAAATAGGAACTTGTTAAACCTTTATTAGTAACGGAAAGACTGAAAGGATGCAACATAGTAACTGATCTCTTAGCTTGGAATACATTCCTACCATATTTTTTCTTCAAATGGCTTTTTAAAATGGTTTTCCCTCTGTGTTGTTTCGAGTGTTTAAAACCAGTGTTCAAAAGAAACAATTAGGCCGACTAGTCGGTCCTGTCCCGATCCGATTAGTCAGACTGATTCCGACTAAATCAGCCGATTAGTGCCCCGATTTTTCCTGAAAAATGCAATTTCGGTAAAAAATCCAAAAAAATTGTAAAAAAGGTTTAAAATTTACATTTTTTTTTATAGTTACATAAAAAAGCAAAACAAAAAAATATTATAGGCATAATTAGGTTGCATAATTAGGTTTCAGATAAAATTTTTAGGCACCTGAAGCAATACTTTTTCAGTCCCCTGCCCCAACAGTTAGAGAGAGAGAGAGTGAGAGAGAGGTAAGAGAGAGGGAGAGGGAGGTGAGAGAGAGAGGGAGAGAGAGGTGAGCGAGACGTTGGGGCAGTCCCCTGCCCCGACAATTTAAGAGAGAGAAAGAGTGCGGTGAGAGAGATATTAGAGAGATGTTGGGGCAGGCCTGCCCCAACAGTTAGAGAGAGAGAGAACCCAAGTGAGAGAGTGAGAGACAGGTGACAGGGAGAGAGAGGTGAGAGAGAGGGAGAGAGGTGAGAGAGAGGGAGAGAGAGGTTGGGGTAGTCCCCTGCCCCAACAGTTCCAGAGAGAGAGAGAGATATAGAGAGAAAGAGAGTGAGAGAAACATTAGGGCAGGCGTGCCCCAATAGTGTGTCTGTGAGAGAGAGAGGTGAGGAAGAGGTTGGGGCAGTCCCCTGCACCAACAGAGAGAGAGAGAGGGTGAGAGAGAGAGAGGGTGAGAGTA